AAGCCCTCATGGCGAGTCGTTGGTGGAGTAAGGCCTGTGTGTGTGTGCTCAATTGTGTTTGGAAGCAGAAAGCAGAACAGAAGCCAGCAGCTCTTTACACCTTGTGTTTCTGGAGTGGCGACAGATGCTACAGGCTTCTGATTCAAAGCAGCTGAAGGAAGTGGGGGGAGAAAAGGTTTAAGGGGACCCCTTTCGTTCTGCTGACCCTCAGACCATCGAAGCCCACAGGGATCGAGCTCTGGTACTTGGTTCAATCAGACAGAATGGGACCGCCATGGGACACCCCATGTCCTCAGCACCTGGGGCCAGTAGGAGGTGTTTTACACAGCAATGCTCTCATCTCAGATCACAAGTCTTTCCGAGCACAGGAAAAGATCAGAGAAGCATCAATGAAAAACACTGGAGGCCATTCAGACTTTTCGATTTTAAGATGAATTTTAGTTATTTTCAGCCTTGCGGGTGTTATTTTTAATTATAGGACTCAACAAAGCTTTTGGTGCTTTTGACTTTAAGCTAAAACTGACAATTTATTAGTTTTTGAAACTGATATTTTTTTATTTATTTAAATCACAAGTTTTTTTCCCTCTGCCATATATACGGTAGTTTCCCAAGGTTCATCGCGACCTGTTAGGTTTCTGGTTTTGCCAAGAGGATAATTTGAAGATATCGAGTTCACCACGGTTTATTAATAAATCTATCTGAGGCCATGCCTTTCTGATCTATAACATAAAATAGTTTTTAAAAAAATTTTTTACAAGGTCTAAGGGTGATTTTTTTTAGTGAAACTGACAAAATTTACAACAACCATTTGACTGCCACTTTACAAAAACAACGATTAAATCTTTTCAGCAGGATTCAAACAAAACTGAGCTTCAGTATTTGTCCACTTTTCTATCATTGCATTCCAACATCTAAATACTCATAAATGCATAATTATAAACTATTAATAAGGTGTCTACAATTATCATTGATTTCTATAAAGCCAACTAATTTTTTTTAATTAAAAAGCAGGCAGTTTGCTGCAAACTCTCTGCTGATGGTTTGTGTTACATCAAGGACAGCTGCAAACAGTAGTTGTGGAGTAAATTAGAGGTAAGCCCTCAAGAAAATAGGGTCAAATTGATGCTTTGATGCAATTTTCCTGTAGACACAATGTTCCTGTCTTTATTTGTTTTATTTTATGCTGTAGATTAGGCTGCTTAGATGCTACTAGTGTGCTTTTCTTTGAAACATGGTGGTTATAAAGTTTATTGTGTTCTCTTTAGTTAACTTATTTCTGTCTAAGCAGTTTGTACAATGTTGTATAGATTGTTTGGAGACAAAATGCTGGTTTAAAAGAGCTACATAATTCAGATTTTGACTCTGGCTCCAAAACAGCACTGCAACTACTATTATTCAAATGAGATATTTATCTGGATTTTGCATCCCATGGACAATCAAAAGTATTTTTTTAAGTGCATAAATCAAAGCAAATTCACATTGCAATAATACCCAATACTTTCACCTGGATGGAGTTGATTGAGAGAAAATTGAAGTGTTTATGGAGAGAAAACCAAAATGAAGAAATCTATGTGCACTTATAGCTTCTTCATAAAGCAACATGAGTCCACACTCTGCTTCGTATGACTGCTGTCATCAAGCTTCTTCAGTCTCAGTGTACAAAGAAATCCTCTTAAAGCTCTTTGGGCCTTTTGACTTTTTATGCTGCTTTTGAACTCTCCATTTCAACTGTGACTTTTCCGCATGACCCCAAGCCCCAGCGTGACCTCCATCCCTCCTCTTCTCTCCCCCCCTGTGGCTGCAGCAGTCTGGAACCACCAGAGCTCCTTCACACATACCCACACACATACACAAAATGAGAAGTGGCAGTGTTGCTGAGTTAGGTCAGGATGTAATCCACAGTAATGTTCTGCCCTCAAGGCTCCTGTCCACGGCACCATCGCCTGGTTTTAAGTAACCTTTCCCTTAAAGAGGCACCTTGGTGTTTCTCAGGCACCCAAGCACAGGGGAGTTAATGAAGTGGCTAAATAAATAAGAGTTACAGTGTACTGCTGGGGTCTAGTGGAGTTTTACTGCCAGTGCTTTAAATTCTCCTGTCCAACTCTGTCTGAGCCAATTCAACAGAAAAATAACCAAACTAAACAAGCTATCACGTCAAATCTTCATCTTAAGGCAAAGCCCTGGCTACAGCGACTGCCAAATTAACCTCCTAACCAGCCTCGTAAAACGCCTTTCCTCTGTTCTTTCTTCCAACATGCACACGCAACTTTATTTTTACCCAGCTACTACTGTTTACCTCACCTTTGTTTTAAATTATCTCCACCTTCTCGATGGAGCCACAACTCTTCCTTCACCTCACTCTCCAGGGCTTCGTCTCTTTTGGTCTCCTTCTCTTTCTCTCACACAGTCTCCGAGTCCCACAGAGAGAAGAGGCAGAGTAGGGGGGTGGGGGGAGTTTGACTCGGCACTGCTTTAGGGCTTTGAAGTGTGTGTTGATGAGAGAAAGTGGAGTACTGTGTTCAGACAGGCCCCTAATGAGGGAATTAAGAAGCTACGCCGGCCTGTTCCCCATACTAACTTCCCAGGCACAAAACAAGACAAGTGAGAATGTGTGTGTACGTGTGTGTAGAGGGGAGTAAGAGAAGGCCTAATCTGTCAGACTTAATCAAGCATCTAACAGTCGTACCTCTCACCTACAGTAAAGAAGCAAAGCTGGCCTCAGCATTTGGGGCGTTACAAACATGTCCTTGAGCTGTGAACTTTCTTAACTTTAAAAAGATTATACCTTAGATGTTCTTAGATGGATCATTCAGGTCTTTTCAAGTAGGTTTCTGTGAAAAGGCTATGACTATTTTATTTCTTACCCGTTTTAGATTTGAACAGCCTCAGTTTGAAGAAATATAGTTCAATTCTGACTGGACTGAAAGCTAATGCTAACAGGAACTTCCTGTAAACACATCAACATATTTCTGTGTAGTGCCAAACTGAAGGAATTAAACATTTATAAAATGGGATTTGTATGAACTGCTGTAAGATTTTGTAGATGAGAGCTGTTTTAGGACAACAGCAATCTGCTTTGGTCTTGACCTGAGGTAGGCAACTTAAGGCCCGAGGGCCAAAAGTGGTTCTTGGACAATCTCCATCAGGCCCCCAATATCCTTAGTAAAAAAACCCAAAAAAAAATAAACACAAAATTTTAAATAAAGATTGATTTAAAAAAAGCAGCAATTTATCAACAAGACTTAACGAAATTTAAATTAAACATCTTACGCAAAACTTAAAAAAAAAAGTTTGTCATTGCGTTTCCAGAACTAGACTGAACCTTACAGACTTAGAAACATAAACATATAAGTTTGTTTTGTTAGTTCTGCTAACATCTATAACATGTTACGCTAACGTGTAACTTGTTAAGCTAATGTATAACATGTGACGCTAACATGCGTAACATGTAAGCTAACGTGTGTAATATATTGTCACAAGAGACAGTTTACAAGGATTTTGGAAAGACTTGTTTTATAAAGCATGCTAACTGCTATAATAAGAAAAATGTCTTCTAAATCATCTGTCATAAAGAATATTTATTTTCCACTTCTCTATGCGGCTTTGACTGATTTAAACGTTTTGATGTGGCCCTTTGGAAAAAAATGTTGCCCACCTCTGGTCTTGACCCTGATCAAACTGCCCATTACTTCATCAATCCAGTCATAAACAAACTCCATTTCTCTGAATTGTGATTGTTCAAAGACTTTTCAATTACAGTTTAGATAATATGTTTATTACAACAAAACTTTCTTTTAAAGGGTTTGAACTGGCGCTTTAGCTTTTGTGGCTCATGCACTTACGATAGTGTGAGTCTAAGTAGCCATTACGGTGGTCCATAGCGAACAGTGTGCCCCTGTACGGCAAGGCATGGTCGGTCAGATGAGGCAGGGAGCCATGCAGCTCCTTCTTGAGCAGGGACGGGTGGTCCTCTGTGGAAGTGGTGGGCTCCTCGTTTGCGCTCCTGTCGAGAGCACCGTGTGTCTGAGCCTGGGAACTGATGGCATTGCGCCTCTCGCGGTGGTACGGCGTGCCTGAACTTTCCTCTTCTGTAGACACAGATAAAAAAACAGAAAGTGAGAAAATCAGCTGTTAAAGCTGCACATTTCAAATGGAAATATTGTCAGGGCGTTGTAATATAGTCTGATCACACAGAAGGTGAATGCACATAAGAGTGGAGCAGGAAATCTAAAATCTACAAAACACGTTGTGTGTAAAGCTGGCGGGGTTTGTTTCCACAGCACCAGATGTGAGAGTTCAGAGACAGAAAGTGTTTCAGCAAATGGACATTATGAATCAAGAAGTCCACATTTTGGAATCCACACAGCTGAGGAAACGTTCTTATTCTAAACTCAGTTCAGTCTGTTCTTTTTAGGAATGGGTTCTTGCGATTGTGGTGGACATTTTGAGCATCACCGTTCGTCATTCTGGTTTTATTCCGCTCCCCGCCCAGTTTGTTCCAATAAAGCCTCTTTTTTTTCCTCAAAGGAAAAATAATAAAAGTGAGGTCTTTGAAATGCCTTATAAAAGAACTAAAGTTGGAGTTGAGCTCAATGCTTGAACTCCACCAAAGAGATGTGACCTTTGACCTTTGTCATGACCTCTGAACTAACATGCACAAGGGTCAGCTAGCCTCTTGGTCTCATGCACGTCATTTGTGTTGTTTGATAGCTTGAGACGGTCTCAGACAGCAGTGCGGCATGCCAGGCATTCTTTTATTTTTATTTTTTATTTTTCCACATTTTGACAAGATCCTTTGAAAAGCATTTAAAGATTCATCCCAATTCAAACATGTTCACGAGTGTTTATGTAAAGTACATAGTAGCTGCCTTACAGCAGCTCTTATTTGTAAAACCATTACAGAAAAAAAAGCAACACGAAAACCAAAACCATATGGGCAATAACTTTTCAAGAGAGACACGGAAACTAACGAAACATGACAAGATGTCACAAACTACAATATAATGGGAACCCAACCACATTATAGAAAATAAAACATCAAAACAGGAAACTGGAACGCTGGAGTCCTTCAAAAAGTTGTGCTTTCTGTTTTGCTCTATATAAGTTTAACAATGTATTGTTTCAGGTTTACTGTTGTATGAAAACTGTTGTTTTTAGAGATAATGTAACGTTATTTTGTTTAATTATTTGGTCTTTTTTAGGCTCCACCCCCTATTTTCATGTGCTTGTTAATGTATAAATATAATGATATTGTTAAACATGAAATGGTACCACTTCACATTACGGCTCTCCTAATAAATGGCTAATAAATAGTTTAATGATACATTATTAATTCCTCTATAAACACTTTATAACTCATTAATAATTGTTTATTATACATTCATTAAGGGTGACAGTAAGACAAATGTGACCAGTTTCTTGGCAAATAGTGAGCCAAATATGTTCACCTATATATTTCATCTTGAGTTGTTATATTAAACATTTCAAACTAAGTTACTACCTTGTAAGCCCAATAAGCATTTCTAAACCAATATAATATTAGTTGTAGATACTTATAATGCAGAAATAAAGTACAATATTATATGCTAAAAAAAATTACGTTTACAAAAATAATTGAAAAAAATGAAATATATAGGTGAGCAGATTTGGTAAGAAACTGATCAGTTTTGTCTCTCTGTCACCCTTAACTTATGCATAATACGCAGTTATTAAAGATTTATAAATTATTTAAAGAGGAATTAATAACATATCTATAAACTATTTATTAGCATCTATAAGGGGAGTCTGGGGAGCCTTATTGTAAAGTGGTACCCATGAAATAAAAATAATCACACACACTTACATAAAAAAGGTTTCTGTTTGAAATACTCTCCAAAATATTGTTTAAATCAACATGTTTGTATAAATGTGTACTTTTTGAATTTTGTACTCTATTTTTTTTTTGTTTACTTTGTGTTTTGTGCCCAACATTTTATTTTGTTTGTTTAAGATGTTTTACACCGTACAATATAGTGAAAAATTTTTTGTGCTCATTAAAATAGATTTGAAATTTACATTTTTTTAAATAAATTTAATTAACTTTATGACATCACTTGTATTGATTCATACTTAGGTACTCTTCACATTATTGCTTCAAACTGCAACATGACCAGAATTTTAATCTGAATGAACAAATGCAATACTTGTTCATTTGATTAAGACATTTTGTTAAGTTACTTTTCTCCGTTTACTATAACCTCATCCCACCACCTCCACCCCAGTCGTTCAGTCCTTGTGTTAAAATAATATGATTTCATCAAGATGAGTGCTGGTCATCTGTACCCTCCATGTTTGTTCCTACATTAAAGCCTCCAACTAAGAATCTGGCAAAATGCCACTGCTCTGGCGCCAGATGTTCTGTAGTATTTGCAGCTTGGTGACATGAGCGCCTCCCCACCTTCTCCCATGAACTGCAAGCCAACAACATCCAACCACCATTTAGAAACAGAGCAGAGGGCCAGATTAAAGAGCACCACCTTAAGCAGTGAAGAGGGACGCCATAGTGCGTTGCCACTTCTCAGGAAAAAAAGAAGCGATCACAAAGGAGCGGAGAACAAGACTGAAAGAGGCGATGAGCGAGGAGGAGCAGCTCGAGGGTCCCACTTTATTCCCCTCACTCTCCCACATCCATTACCTGCGTCTGGGCCCAGCCGTGCCCCGCCGCAGCACTGGCAACAGATTCAAGGAGTCTTAACGCGGAACTGACAGCCGGAGAGGCAAGTCACTCTCATCCACAGGAAATGACAGTGTCAGTTATGATATAAGTATTTAATCCTATACTGCACAGCCAGTGATCTTATTAAGGGAATAAAGCAACTTATACGGTTAAAGCTGGATTAATAGGTCTGTGCTCTGCAAAGCGCAATATTAACATAAAGGGATTTTGGAATTGGGTTCATCTCCTGACATGGATTGAGGAAGTCGAGGCTGTAAACTATGCAGGGAGTGAGAACCGCTAGAGGTAAAGTGTGGAGCAGTGTGTAGCAGAGGCTCCTGCTGTGTACTCACAGCTATTCCACTTTCACAAAGATGTAGCATTGCGGCTGGGAAAGTAGACTGGCTACATATTTTTGAGCTTTTTTACTTTTAAATACATATTAAATATTTTATAAATGGATTCATCCATGTGCATTTAGATAGAGTGGTCCAAACTAATAAAACCACAAAAGTTCAACTTTGAGAACTATAGTTTCTAGGAGTGCACCAATTGCAGTTTTCTGGCCGATCACCGATCTCTAAAAAGCCTGACCTACTGATACCGATTTTGGCCGATACCAATTTTGTTTGATAAGCGACACTGTCAGGTGTTATAAAGTCACAATGCACCTTCAATTGTCCAATCTTATTTATTGAAAAACATACCCTTGAACAATATCCTAGTAATAATACAAACTTGTTTTAAATGGCCATGAGGTAATATGAAATATAAATGAAGTTTAGACAGCTGTTGTTAAAACTACAAATAATCAGTAAAATCGGTTTCTCATTTAAGTATCGGCCGATCTCCCAAAATTAAAGAAATCAGGGCCAATATGTGCACCCCTAATAGTTTCACATTAGTGTTTACCAGTTATTTAAATTTGTTCTCGCAATTTTCTTGTTCTTTCCATTGTTTTGTTTCTATAGTGAACCCCAGTGCTACTCAGAAATGCCTCTCCTCCGAGTGAGGTCAAGCAGCAAATAGTTCAATCACAGCCCCATCATGGTCCCACCATCCCCCATTCAGTCACCCTGGCAAGCCCAGAGGAGGGGGTTCATCATTCTACCATATACCACCTTCAGGGGCTTCATTACTGCAGTTCATGGGTCCTTAAATGGTTAAACAAACACTTTGCACCACAAGGGTCAATTGACTCCTTGACTCCATGCTATTCTCAAGCAAGGTTGTTCTTCTGTGCTGCTTGTGGAAACTTTTTGTCTTATAACATGTTGAGCATCAGTCAAAATTTGAGCTAATGAAGAGGAGAGGTAAACACGTGCAACTTTGAAAACTTGAAGCCTGCAACACTTTTCTGACTCCTGACCATCTGTCCGACAGATTCTTTCCCTTTTCCCCTTTCTTCATTTTTGATTCCTCTTTTATTTCACCGTTCTTTTCCCATGGTTGCCACATCAGTCCTCTACCAGTTTGCAGGTCTATTCAGCCCACAACACAAAAGCAGCAGATCGGCCCTCTGTGGACCAGAGGAAAGCATGCCTTAAAAAAAAACAGGAGGAAAAAAAAAAAGAACCATCCTGCTTTCTCTCTATGGTGATTGAATTTCTTAACATCTTTTCAAAAAGCGCTTAAATGCCTGGAGGCGAGAGGAAGAAACAAGCTAATGGTGGATGGGGAGCACTGAACAAATTTCAGAGCCCTTTCCTGCTTGCGTTTGAGGTTGAAAGCGAGCTCTTGCCTTTCAAGTTTCAAAGTCCTCCTTCCTCCCGCAGTGTCACTGAAGGATTTGAAAAGAAGGTAATTGTGCTCACTGCCATCCTGATCAGAGCACACGCCCCAGCTCTAGTATTTCAGGAGCTTTCTCTGCCACTATAATGGTACCTGGTACTTCATTCCTGCATTCTTTCTCCCTTACAACTCTTTCTCCTTTTCCCTTTAACCCTCTACAAATGCACTCTCTATTGCTCTCATGTGTTTGCTTTTTATTTCTCTTTTACCCCCAGCAGGCCACTCATTAAACCCTGAAACCCAGGTTTTTCTCTTTTTTCCTCTTGTCTTCAGTCTCCATTGAAGGATTCTGGTTCAAATACCTTTCGAGAAAACCCTATACATTGGTCTTAACAAAGAGAGCGTGGATGCAATGGCAATATACAATTCTGAAAGCAATAATGAGATATGGAGTGGGGCCAATGCCTCGAGTCGGGCTCTGGGATAAGAGGGGCTAAAGTTAAGGGTGTCCAGCCAATTTACAGAAATCAAAAGTGAAACAAACCCCCAACCATGTTGTTTTGAAGGATTTTTCTAGAGGCACAGGTTAAGAACAAGGCTTGCTGTACTTCCACATGAAAACAGTCCTTAACTCTCAAGTATTTGATTCACCTTCCAGCATGG